TGAACTTGAACTTAAAGCCTCCAAATTGTAAGAATAAACTCCTGTTTGTTGAGGCCATCCCATTTGTGGTATATTTTTGCCAGAGCAGCACTAGGTAACCAGAACAGGAGGGAAACAGCAAAAAGACACTTTCTTGTTAATAGAACTTGGTAGTCACTGTGTCTAATGTCTTCAGAAATGCCACCATTAGTTGAAGGGAATGTTTCTGTGTAGGAATGGTATGAACTTGGAGCAGAGTTAAGATACTAGCAAACACTAAATGACAAACAGGATTTTTACAGCTTGTAATTACAACATTCCTTGTGGCCTGAAACAAAGTCATTGCCAGTGACAAACACATCAGTCATTTGCTCACCTATGAAATTGTTCCACTCAAAATCAAGATCCCCTTGGTTGGCCAAACAGCCTCTCATGATGTTTGAGCAGTAGTTGTAACATGGCTTCACAGACACCAGACCCCGGCAGTGGGAGCAGTAGGTCATTTTCAGCAGGGCGTGGGTACACTGGGCTGTGGGATTCACCTGATGTGTGAGAACAAAGAGAGAGAGGGGTGAGGTGGACGCAGAAGTTGCAGGTTTATCAAGGTGACATTCAAGGCCTGGCCATGAATTTAACAAAAGAATGAATTGCAACTGACCACAATTAACTGGCCAGGTCTGCCTCTGTTGTTGCTGCTGCTGCTGTTGGCTGCCACCAGTCAGCCCCCAACTCATGGCAGCCCCACGCACAGTGAAATGGCATACTGTCCCTGACCCGCACGATCACATACAGACAGGGTTACTGTGCTCCACAGGGTTTTTACTGGTTGATTTTCAGAAGCAGAACACCAGGCCTTTCTTCCTAGTCTTAGTCTGGAAGCTCCACTGAAATCTGTTTAGTATCATAGCAATAAGCAAGCCTCCACTGACAGACAGGGGGTGGGGGTGGGGGGTGGTGAGGGCTGCACGTGAAATGCATCCGCTGGAAATCAAACCCAGGTCTGTTGTTGTTGTTATGTGCCGTCGAGTCTGACCCAACTCATAGCGACCCCTCCTTGGGTTTCCAAGGTGGCATCGCTACGGAAGTAGATTGCCCAACCTTCCTTCCGAGGAGTGGCTGGTGGGTTTGAAGCACCAGCCCTCTGGGTAGCAGTCAAATGCCTTAGGCACTACGCTACCAGAGCTCCCTAACCCGGGCTTAGAAGAGGTCAAATTAGATAAAGGAAAGCTGTGTGCTGAGGAGAGGGGGAGGGAGGTGGGCAGAAAGAAAGCATGACCTTAAACAACCAAGTTACACAGGTCTCTAAACCTGGAAGCTCCCACCCTTCCCTTCTCTCTCCTCCCCCCTATCCCACACACTCGTTTTTACCTGTTCAATTTCAAAGACCTTTTGCAAATAACTTTGCAGGAAAAGCCCACTGTGAAACACAAGATACAGTCATGGGAACTGCCTGCATGTCCCCACCAGGTGCAGCCTGCTAGGGCCTTGCCAATCACTGTGTGTGTCTTTGCCAGACTGGAACAAAAGCATATCTTCTTCTGAAATCCACAGACAGCCCTTTGGACCTTAATCGCCACCTCCACACTCAAGGCTTAGAGAGGTACCCAGTGTGTATACTCTGTGCTGTGCCAAGAATGTTGTGGAAGGTAATGTATTCTACAGGGCAGAAGAGCTATCATTTTAGATGTGAGGGCACAGGAAGGCCTAACAAGGCTTGGGGGCTGTGGATTCTGCTGTGCTCTGGGAATATTAGGTGGAAGAGATGGGTACTTCAATTAAATTTTGAAGAAGGATTTGCATTGAAGTGGTCAAATGAGAGGAGAGCTACTCAGGTATGAGAATGAAATAAAAGTTAGAAAGCAGTGTACTAGGCATATCGTGATATCTTAGAATGGAGCTGAGGAACTATGGGAAAAAGGTTGGATGCACGGGTGTGTGTATGTGGCCAGATTAGCGGGGCTCGGATGCCAGTCAAGAATGGAGGCAGCACCTGGCAGGACACAGTGAGCTACTAAGAGTTCATGGGGAGGGTAAAGGACGAGGATGGAAGCCATACTGAAATCAGATTGGGCAGCGAAATGGAACCAAGGTTCATCTTTCTAACTCTTTAGAGCCCAGATGACAAAGTGGTTAGGTGTTTGGCTGCTAACCAAAAGCTTGGCTGTTCAAACATACCCATCTGCTCCCTGAAAGAGAGACCTGGTGATCTGCTCCCATAAAGATTACAGCCTAGAAAACCCTATAGGGCAGTTCTACTCTGTCACACGGGGTCACTATGAGTCAGAATTGACTCCACAGCACCTGACAACAAGAAGTTCTGTAAATGGTAATGGTCTTCTGCATATTGGACTTGAGTCACTTCCATCAGCGCGGAGAAAGGATCATGGCTAGGTAGCCGATTCTGGCAGTTAACTAAAAATTCCTCTATCTTCTCCTCCTCTTTACCCCACTTTTCTCTTTGGGATCAATGTCAAAGGGTTAATACATTCTTCTCTATAGTACCAACCTATTCTTCAAACATCAACTTCTGGTAGCAGATATGACCGCGGGGAACAGATGTTGGCGGCCCACAAAGCTTTTCACCTGCTCTGGAGGGTTACTTTGGATACCACTTATCAACAGTGTCCTTAGGAACAGGAACAGGACATTAGGACTTTCAGGAGCACAACTTAACAATGACAGGCTCCTACTGATGTATATAGACCGCCTCGTATCCCAAACAGAACTCTAGCTCAAAAGGACAGGGGTGATATCCAACAAGATAGTAATTGTATGCACTGAACTCAATATCCCTTACAGAGTATTAGGCCTTGTCCAGTTTTAACCAGTCCCAAATGTTTTCCTAGGCCCAAAATCAGTCCTTTTAACTAGGTATTATTATACAGTAAAATCTTGGCTAACCAATACCCTGGAGGAATGCCCTTTCTGGATAGTGCAAAGTTCATTCCTTTAAAGCCTCAGATTATTGGGACTTTGATACTTGTCTGCCTCCTCATTTTCCAGATGAGCAAACAGGCCTGGAGACGGGAAGTAGCCCAAGAATCACTGGATTACAGAAGTTGAACAGGGAACTCTGGTGGCATAGTGCATAAGCACTTGACTGCTAACTAGAAAGTCAGCGGTTCAAACCCACCAGCTGCTCTGTGGAAAGAAGACAGGGTGATCTACTTCCATAAAGATTTATAGCCTTGGAAACCCAGTGGGGGTCGCTATGAATTGGATATGACTCAATGGCAGTGAGTTTGGTTTTTGGGTTTTTTGAGTTGAAAAGGACCTTACAGAGCATGACCATCATGCTCACATTTAAGAGAGAAGACAACTGAAGCCCAAGAGATTAAGTGAGTTGCTGACAGTCACCCGGCTACCTCTGATTCCAGTACTACAACTTATCAAACATTTGGGACAAAAAATAAAAAAAGTTTTCCAAGATGCATCATGTTTCCCTGTCTTCTTAAACAGAAGATATAAAACTCTAATCATCTTAGACATCAGTTATTCTGTTTAGTTTTAGTTGGGGTCCACATTGGTGAGACTGCTCACTGGATAGATTTTAAAGTGGTAAAGAGTTATGTAAATGACTTAAAAAAAACCACAGGGTAGCAGTTAGCAACTGTTGAATATTATGCTTAAGAACAGACAATGCCCCATCAAGAAGAGGTGTAAAAAGCTACTGTCAACAAACAATTATTGAGAACATACTATGTGCCAAGAATAGTCCAGGATGTATTTGTGATTAGGTAGCAAGACAAGTAAGAATTTTTATGTTAGGCTATGGAACCTGTTCTACAAAACACAAAGAAACTCCAATGAGTTGTAGCCGTTTAGGAATGAGCAAACATTTTAAACACAAGGTAGTTACAGTCAAGAAATGGTTATTTTTCCCCCCACCAAATAGGTCATGTCCCATTTCCTTTTGTTTTTTAAGTCCACTGTAGGCTTAATTCAATTGCAAGTCAAAACATCTGTACAGTAGACCTTGTAGTACCCTCTCCTAAAATAGGCTGATGGAGGCTCAAGTTCTACAAACAGAGACGACACTAAATGACACAGTAGGCTTTTATTAAAGGAAGATTATGAAGCTTGGTCTGGCGGAGCTTTTCAATTTCATTATTTGGCTCATGCTCTGCACATGATTTGTTGTGTAACTATTAAAAATGATCACAAGGAACTCATCTATAACATGCTATGAAAACACTAAATAAGACCAGAACTGGAAAGAGCTGGGCAAATTATAAGAAAACTAAGACAAGAAGGGACATATAAAAAATTGAAGTTGGAAAAAAATCTGTCTTTCATCTTACAAGGACTAATCAGACCACTCTGCAAAATATTTCACATGAAGGGAAGTTAGAACCTGGGGAGCAATCCCTCGTGTGGAATGAGGCTTTGGCTTAAAGAGCAAGGTTTGTAAACAGTAATAAAATCTAAAGAAATGGGGGAACTAGGAGTCCCCTGTGATGCCTCCCCTCTCCCTGCCCCAGAGGAAATGTCAACAATATAAACCACTCCCCAGATCTTGGGTCCCATCCTCAACAATCTGACCAAGCTCAAGATGGCAGACCCAGAGTGCCAAGGACTAACTCTCTGTCTTTGGACTCTGGACTATCACAGCAGATAAACTACATAACTAGTTCTCCTTTGGAATTTTCCAGAGTGTCTTGGTAAGAAGCACTGTAGGTTGGTAAAAGACCCAAAGGCATACCACTGCCACAGGGAAGAACAAGCAACACAGTAATACAGTGCTTCAATTCAAATTGTTTCCTGGAATTTCTGGCCAAAGTCCAACATCTCCTTGGTCCAGTGGTGGCTCTTGTGGTCACACTGTGATATACAAGGCGCTGCTCCTTCACAAGCTCTCAATGATCTTTCTGCCATGCCAGGGCAAACCCTTCACCCATAACCAAACATAACAATGGACTAAGTTTATACTTTGTTCTGAAGCTTTGTTTATTTTGAATAGAAATTCAAGTTCATTCACACGCTATTCCCTTGGAGACCTCAAAATCAATTATTTCTCGAGTCTTCAACTAGCTTATTTACTGAAGCAGATTTACTCCAGAAGATCCCAGACCAAGTGATAGACCATGCCACTCAGAGATGGACAAAAAGGGTAAGTAACTATACTCCAAGGCCCTCCCTGAGTCCTCTAATGACATGGCACGCCACTTAAAATGATCAATCTCATTGTTACTTTGGAACACAGATCTTAACTAACGTTTGAGGTGGTTTCCTTTTGCTTAGGTGTCAGTGGTGGCTTCGAGGATCCTTGGGGCTGGAGTAGGGGATGAGAGCCGATTGCTTTTACAAAAGTCACATTTTCCAGACCTATTTTAGACATTAAATAGTTACTTCTCAAAACGACATGAGAAAAGAAAAGGAAAAGGAAAACTGAGTTCCTCTCTTGCAGCTTTGAACCACTTAACACAAAGAATGATTTAATGGTCTCAGATACAAAATGCTTATCTAGCTTACATGGTTTCATGAGCATGACAGTCTTGAAGAAAATATTCCATAAAAAAAAACCCATTTTATCCCATGTCAG